CTATCTCTACAGCTTGTTATATTGTCAACCGAGCTCCTTCTGCACCTTTGAACTTTAAGATTCCAGAGAAAATATGGTCAGGTACTCCAGCTAATTATTCTGATTTAAAGATATTTGGTTGCCCTGCATACATGCATGTAAATGATGGAAAATTAGAGCCAAGGGCTAAAAAGTGCATTTTCCTTGGGTATGCATTTGGGGTGAAAGGATACCGACTATGGTATCCTGATCCCACGATACCGAAATTTATAATTAGCAGAGATGTAACCTTTGATGAATCCTCTATGTTACATTCTAGAAAAGAGTCTTCTAGTTCTTGTAATACAGATAAAGGAAAGAGTACACAGAACCAGGTGGAGATTGAGATTGGCATTCCTTCTGAGCCAAGCTCATCAACTTTGGAGCAAAATACAGTTAAAACTCCTGAAGTTGAGACAAAAGCTGAAATTCCTGAAGTTGAAACAAAAGCTGAAATTCCTGAAGTTGAGACTCCTAAAGTTGAACCAGAAGAAGAGAAGTATTCTATAGCCAAATATAGACCAAGAAGAGAAGGTAAACAACCATTAAGGCTTGGAGATTATGTTGCATTTGCTTTTTCAGTTGCACAGGAAACTGAAGAAATTGGAGAACCATCAAAATATTCAGAAGCAGTTTCTGGTGCTGACTCAGCTAAGTGGTTGATTGTAATGAATGAAGAAATTGAGTCTCTCCACAAGAATGATACTTGGTCTCTTGTGAAGCTACCATCAGGAAAAAGAATTGTTGGTTGCAAATGGGTCTTCAAGAAAAAGGATGGCATTCCAGGGGTTGAAGATGCGAGGTATAAGGCACGATTAGTTGCAAAGGGCTATAGTCAGGTACAAGGAGTTGATTTTAATGATATTTTCTCACCTGTTGTTAAACATAGCTCTATTCGTGTCTTGCTTGCCTTCGTTGCCATGTATGATTTGGAATTAGAACAACTTGATGTTAAGACAACTTTCTTACATGGCAAACTTGAGGAACAAATATACATGCATCAACCCGAAGGATTTGAAATTGAAGGAAAAGAAGATCATGTTTGCTTGTTGAAGAAATCCTTGTACGGATTAAAGCAGTCTCCAAGACAATGGTATAAAAGATTTGATTCCTTTATGTTGGGTCATGGTTATTCGAAGAGCATGTATGATAGTTGTGTTTACTTCCGGAAGTTAAATGATGGTTCATTTGTGTACCTATTATTATATGTTGATGACATGCTCATTGCTGCTAAGGATTTAACAGAAATTCACAATTTGAAAAGTCAGCTGAAAAGTGAATTTGAGATGAAAGATTTGGGAGCAGCTAAGAAAATCCTTGGCATGGAGATCAAAAGAGATCGAAAAGCCAACAGGCTATTTCTGACCCAGAAGAAGTACTTGGAGAAAGTCTTGGAGAGGTTTGGCATGAAAGATGCTCAACCAGTTAGTACCCCTCTTGCTGCTCATTTTAAGTTATCAGCTGCTCAGTTCCTGCAGTCAGAGGAAGAAGAGAGGTACATGGCACAGGTTCCTTATTCCAGTGCAGTCAGCAGTATTATGTATGCAATAGTTTGTACACGTCCAGACATTTCACAAGCAGTGAGCGTGGTAAGCCGGTATATGGCTTGCCCTGGTAAAGCACATTGGCATGCTGTGAAATGGATTCTCAGATACTTGCGAGGTACTTCAAACACATGTTTGGAGTTTGGGAGAAATACTAACACTTTGGTTGGTTTTGTAGACTCAGATTATGCAGGTGATCTTGACAAAAGAAGATCACTGACAGGCTATGTATTTTGCATCGGGGGTTGCGCTATTAGTTGGAAAGCTACATTACAACATGTAGTAGCTTTATCTACTACCGAAGCAGAATATATGGCAGTGACCGAGGCGATCAAAGAAGCTTTATGGTTGAAGGGTCTATTTGCGGAACTCAGTTTACACCAAGGTGGTATTACCATTTTCTGTGATAGTCAAAGTGCCATTCACTTGACTAAAGATCAAATGTATCATGAGAGGACGAAACACATTGATATAAAGTATTATTTCATCCGAGAAACCATTGCTGTAAGAAAGTCTCCGTTCAGAAGATCAACACTAGAGACAATCCTGCTGACATGTTCACAAAACCTCTTCTAGTATCCAAGTTCAAGCTTTGCCTGAATTTGATTGGCATTTATGAAGAATGATTTTGCCCATTGGGTNTATTCAAGAATAATAAAAACTGGGCCCATTTGGCGTAGAAGAGTATTCAAATCAAACACATGATTGGCCATTTCTTGAATTCTATTTTTTTCTAAAGAGTATAACTGACATCCATATGCAAGTGAAATTAATAACCAAAATTCGATGAGAATGTAAATAAATTTAACTTTGTTAGTGTATATATAGGTTAAGTTCGTTTTTAAATATTCCAAGATCGTAAGTTTAGCTATCAATTGTTTGTTCAACCAAACTAAAGGAATCATGTGTATTTCATTCTAGTCCTTTTAGTGGAGGTCAATATTCATTCAAGGTATTAAATATCCAATTCTGTTGTAATCTGATTAACGTTTATCAAGAAAACAAGTGTAACAAACCAGCTATTCAATACTTCTATTGCTTCAACCTAAGGAAATTACTAACTCTAACTCAAAACTATTACAGGAATTAGAGATGCTAAACAGAAATACAAATGATAGAGAAGAAGGGATGAGAAGCTCAGACTAAGAATGGGGATGAGAGGATACAGACACTCGAGAAGGAAGATGAGGAGAAGCAGACATTTTACTCAACAATACGCATAATTCCTGAAGCCGTAGGCCACTTTCCTTTTAAACCTTTGTCACGTCTTTCCCTACTCCACCTGGATCCCAAACGGATCTCTTGTTGGGTTGTCTTATCCTTGGGCTTCTTTGTGGTCTAGCCCTTGGCCCAACAACTTGGCCAACCTTCCAAATAATTGGCCCACAAGTATTATCTAAATTATTCCTGTTTACAACAATACTCCCCCCTGAATTGAGAACCTTGCCCTCAAGGTTCTGCAGTAGCACGTTCTGTTGGTTAGGCTGGTTATTGCAACACTTGAGCGTAGATATGCGAGAAATAGGATATATTCGTTTAGTTTCGAAAAGTTCAAATTTAAAGGCAACAACCCAAATATGCTGAAGCACTTTAAAAGGACCAAAGTATTGCCTTCTCAATTGATGATATTGCTGTAATCTCACAGAGTGTTGCCAATAAGTAGGAAGTTTGACAAAAATACAATCACCAACTACAAAGTGATCTTCAACTATACTCGCATGCACGTCAAACACCAGATGTGCTAGCTTAGCGGATAGACAAGGCAATATTACTTCTAGAATGCCAGCATAATAAGAGACAAGTGGATTACCTTCGTGTTTAATAAATTCAACCATCTCCGTCGAACAGTCTGTGAGTACCGTTAATTTGTGTTGTTGTTGAAATGCTCTGATTACTACAGTCAAGATCAGTAAACTAAAGAATATCAATCCATAATTATAAAGCTCTTTTCTGCCACTAGACAAACTACATGCTCTTGATCCACAAAGTAACCTATTAGGTCCGCATAGTTGAAAATTAATTACAACAATGACCACAGTAATTGCATAATTGCAGCAAGACTTATGGCAAGACGTGGCTTTCTCCTATGTTGCAATATTGTCATCCTATTGGATTTCCTTGACTGCATCCACAAACTGCACAAATATTTTGCGATCTCCGCCTGTAAGGATTGAACTTGTAGCACTCGTGCAGGTCCTGCCTCATCGAAAACATTCCAAAAAGCATTACAAAGATTAAAATCCTCTATAAAATAGTGCAAAGAATATTTGTAATATGCACAGGTTTGTGGATAAAACACTTTCGTTCTAGTACAAGAGAAATTCATTAACACGACTTGGCTGCTAGAGAGTGACGAACAGGAAGAAAATGTATATTCCTCACTCATTGGGCCAAACAAGAGTGATGTAAGAAGCTTCAGTTGCAATGTATCTGAAACATCTTTTTCCAATGCAAAATCAGATAGCAAAATGGAAGAATGTATACACCATTTCCGTCCAGGATCCCACACTTGAGTCATAGAGCTAGAAGCCACATACTCTAGATGACTTTTTAGAGTTAAGATCTCGGAGTTTATCCTTGGTGCCATGATAATGTGCTTCCCAAGACAGCTCAACTCAATTTCAAGCTCAGTTATAGGTTGGTTGATAAGAATCTGAAGACTTAGAACTCGAGACCTAATAATAAACTCCAAATGATTCGATAGAACTTTCCCTAGATGTTCTGAATCCATCCGATGAGTAAGATTCTGTAAGATTGGGCAAACAATTGCTGGAACCATTTCCTCTTTGACATTTGTAGCTCCCTTGAATAGGCTAGTAGCAAATAGCTTCTGTTGAACCACATTCTTTGAGCCTTTAACTTGCACATTGCCATCTAGATAAACGGACGTCAGAGGAAGTTTAAAATCATTAGATATGGAGTAGAAATAAAAATACCTCTTTACTTGTAAAACCCAATTCAAAGATTTCTCGTCGTTTAAACAACTCAGTACCACGTGATGACCCTGTACCATCGGAGCTTGAGATAAGTCAACCATGGTAGATGGAGTCGATATGAAGAGTCCAACATGAACAGATAATGAGTGTACCAAATTCAAATCTATAGCCAACATTTTATAGGATAAAGTAGTATGGCGATGCGGTATTATGCAACCAAAAACTACAAGCCGAAAATGACATAGTGATGGCTGCTTAATTATTAACGTGAACTCTTTATCCTACGCTGGTTCTTCATACCCAACGAATAAAATTTTATCAGAAACATACCTCGCAATATCTGAAACCTTATTAGCTAGCATAAATTCTTATAAAAAAATTTCCACAGACATAGACTCCTGTGAATATGAAGCGGTATGACATTTTCAAATGGATGTGTGACTTCAGCAGTGCTCGCAATCTCTTTCGGCACTACATCCTCTCTACTAATCAAAGGTACCAGAAAATTAGTTGTGTTCGTTTCAGCTTCATTATCGCAAGCAATTGCCGCATCAGTTGGAGAGACATAGTTCTTGTCAACGGTTCGTCTGGGATGTCCATCAGGCACCTTGTCTTCCTCAGAATCACCATCTTCTAAATCAGATTCATCAGCGAGTACCGTGGAGCAGCAATTATGAGACATTTTATCGAATACCTGGCCTTCTTCTGAGAATTTCACCTTCTTAGTCATCAATTCATTACCAACTTGTAGCTCTGTAAGAATCTCAACCTCAATATGACTTCCATCAGCGATATCGTACATGGAATCAACATCAATATGTTTTTCTGGTAATGCAGTAACGCACTAGGTTCAACATCCGCTTCATCATCTTGTAACGTGCTAGTTGCCTTATCCGCCATTTCCTCGAGCACCTCGTATGCCGAGTTAAGGTTGTTGCTGTCTAAGTGTTTATTCCAATACTGAGGCGAGGGTGAGGTGCTAATGTTGCACCACGATGGAATAGCCGCAGCTCGTGCTAGAAACTTTTCCTCTAACTTTCGCTGCTGGTGAACGACTAAGCACCCACCAGATGCTTCTTTAGTTCGAGTGCGAAAACGCTGCTTCAGTTTCTCCTTGAAATGATTCCAATCAAAAAATTGCTTATTTCGAAACAGCCAATCAAACCAAGAAGAGTTTCTTCGTCAAGGTAGTGGTAAGGAAGAGGTAACCAGTCCTTCTCGGAGAAGCCAAGGTAGGTAAAGTACAACTCAGCCCGAAAAATCCAACCCTCTGGGTTTCCATCGGTGAATCGATCTAACACCACCATTGTTGGAGTACGAACGATGAAAGCACCAATGTAACAAACCAGTTATTCAATACTTCTATTGCTTCAACCTCGAAAGGAAATTACTAACTCAACTCAAAACTATTACAGGAATTAGAGATGCTAAACAGAAATACAAATGATAGAGAAGAAGGGATGAGAAGCTCAGACTAAGAATAGGGATGAGAGGATACAGACACTCGAGAAGGAAGATGAGGAGAAGCAGACATTTTACTCAACAATACGCATAATTCCTGAAGCCGTAGGCCACTCTCCTTTTAAACCTTTGTCACGTTTTTCCCTACTTCACCTGGATCCCAAACCGATCTCTTGTTGGGTTGTCTTGTCCTTGGGCTTCTTTTTGGTCTAGCCCTTGGCCCAACAACTTGGCCAACCTTCCAAATAACTGGCCCACAAGTATTATCTAAATTATTCTCGTTCACAACAACAAGTATTGTCAAACTATTCATAATATTTTTGGGTCAAATGACTACATTAAGTAAAATTAGGGACCAATGAGTGATCAGCATTGCATGATCCGCCTAGCAAAGACAGATACGAGTTACATTAATTTAAATTAGGGACCAATAGATGTTTTATTTTTCACTAAGAACATATATAAAACCTTGACAGAATTACCAATTTATGCAGAAGATGCATAGGACACAAGCAATGGTGGGAAAAATTAATACTATAAGTGTTCTAGTATTTCACGAGTGAGAACATATACAGCATCTTGTGAACGTAGGTCTTTCCTGGAGTCACAATTGTCGAAGGGAAATTCGGATGATTCACAGCATCTGGGAACCCTTGAGTCTCCAAACACAAAGCTGAATGAGGCTGATATACACATCCATCTTTCCCCTTTTTATTAATGACAAAGTTTGCAGTGTAGAATTGGACACCGGGTGCAGATGCTTGTACAACCATCACTCTTCCTGACTTCTTATCATATACTATTGCCACAGGTTTCATTTTCTCACTGCTGTCAAGTACATAGTTGATGTCATATCCATTTTGGTGTTTGTTGATCATCTGGCTCCCCACTTTACGAGGTTTTAGGAAGTCGTATGGCGTGTTCTTGACAGGGATGATTTCGCCTGTAGGAATGAGATGTTCGTCTACTGGAGTGATGTGTGATGCAAAGATTTGAATAACGTTGGACAAGATATCGCCACTGTTGTGTCCACCAATATTCCAATAAGAATGTTGAGCCAAGTTAACAGGGGTGGCCTTGTTTAGAGCTTTTGCCTTCATTACCACACTAAGCTTGTAAGGATCTTTCAATGCATAAGTAACTGAGACACGAAGATCACCAGGAAATCCTACAAAAGACAGCAATGGATTTGGTTATTTATAGGATTCTTCAATATATTGAAAGATATATTTGCAGTGTGGTATCACTAAACCAAGACTCGCCTTCTTCACCATCACCACTGTGGTAGGTTAAAGTAATGTGAGGATGTGAACCATGTCGCTCATGTTTGCTCACCTTCCAAACAACATGGCTAAATCCTTTAGGGCCGCCTGTAGATATCAAATTTTTGCATCAGGAAAAGAGAAAGCAAATTTGTGTAAATGGAGGTGAAAGTTGAAGAGAAAGCAAGTAAAGGGGTACCATGCAATGTGTTATTGCCATTATTAGCGATGAGCTTATAAAGGGTTCCATTCAAAGTAAATTGAGCACCACCAATTCGGTTAGCAACTCTTCCAACTATTGCTCCAAAATAACTTGTATCATTCTGCACAAAGGTATTTTCATATTTGTTTATGACTGAAGATTTGAACAGTATCAGGAGGCTAATTCCATATTCACATCCATTGGTTTCTTGGAAAGAATTTCATAATTGAACACATTTTATGCCCTTATTAACTTAGAATGTGACATTATTAAGTTCACAATCCTCCATCATGTGTAACCCGACTCTAGAATTCACATGTGAAACTTGTTAAAATGAGCTTTTCAAATGTTGGTTTTGGTATCCTTTGAGATAGTCCATCAGACCTAAATATTGGGCGTGCGAATAAAGTCTCATATTGGAAGTTGATAAGGAAATAAAAGCTACATATAACGTGTAATGATACTCTTAATGGTGTGACACATTTTGGAGAAAATCGTGCTTGTTTGGCCGAAAACAAACAATATCATATCCAGTGGTGGACGCACATGGTGGAAAGTCGCTTCGTCAAAAAATAATACTGTGTATATACAGTGGCGGACGCACGTGGTGGCAAGCGGGTTCAACTGAACCCGCTTAATCAAAAAATAATACTGTGTATATGTATAAATTAGGATTAAAGCTGCGTAAACTTTGTATAAATATTTTATTTGAACCTACTTGACAACTATTATTTTACGACTAAAGTTATGTACTTCTAAGATTGAACCCGCTTGCACAAAATCCTGGGTCTGCCACTGATCATATCATGTTAAAAGCAAATTCAAATAGATCCATTAGAACGGAACAAAGTGAATGAACCTTGTATTCCTTGATAGTGTCATATCCAAGAACAACATCACCTATTTTTCCTGGAAGGGAGCAAGACAAGATAGGACTGATTTCTCAGAGGAATAGCAGAAAACAAGAACAGATGTTAAAATAGGAACATATTTTCCAAAATATGGCATTGATTAAGGTAAAAGAGAGACGTACCATTCTTATCAGGAACAAGAACAGAGATGATTCTGGCACCATAATTGGTGATTTTAACAGAGAAATCTCCTTTCTTGATCTCATATATCCCTATCTTTCGCCCTCTAACAATGAGAGCAGACCACAGATGAAGAATGAACAAACATATCAACAAACTATTAACCTTTGAAGACATAGTCAACTCCAGTTTTTGAGACTTAGAGAGTGTGCTTGAATATATGCACTCTTCCTTTATCCTATGGCCTTAGTATGGAAAATTGTTTTAACTGCATGTGCACAAAAGAGAACTTGTCAACCAATAATCTGTGTGGAAATGGGACATATCCGTAGAAAATCGACAATGATGAGTGTGACGTCTTAGACCTTTCCAATTACTTGATGTATATTACTAGTTATTATATTACATGCAGAAGTAGCCGTTTGTGTTGACTTGTAAACAGAATACCTTCAACTTCACGGTATACAGAACCTCATGGTCGATATGAAGGTTTGGATTGCATTACGTAATCTTTCTTGATCTATGGAAAATTTTTTAGATAATTAATTGAAATAGCTTACCTTATATTGCACAATGATGACTAAGAAGAAGAAAAAAAGGCAGCTAACACTTCATCTAAAAATAAATACATGAGCAAAAGAAGAGATTCAAATAGAACACAAGTGAATATTGAAAATAACCTAAATTTTTAAACGACTGTGTCCTCTTAGCACTTTGCTTCCTCCTTGTGTTTTCTGTAATTCTAGCTCAACTTCTTGCCTTCCGTACTGTGTTTTCTCTTAGAATTTTTTTGAACAGTTAAAGAAAATTATTCAAGGAGAAGCAGGATTTAGCTATTTAAGGAGAAGCCGTTTCTGATTTTAAGTGTTGTCAGGTTATTATTTAAGGATAAGCAGTTTCTGATTTTGAATGGTAATTACTCCCTTACCATTAATTGCATTTCTGATAGTTTTATTTTGACTGTTCATTCTCACATAAAAACTGGCTGGGTAGTGCACAATTTCAATCTTCATTGTCGTTACTACTTTTGGCTAACTTCAACGTATATCCATATTAATGAGCTTCATGTTAGCCATACTAACTACCAATTACTTATTAGCAGATTGATAAGTAATAGCAGGCTTGTGTTTAAAGAAAAACAGAAAAATAAGTAGAAAGGTAAAAAAAAATGAGAAAAGAACAATACTATTGTAAAGTATGCGTGGAGTCACCCTCAACGGCCAATTGTTTGACAGGAAAGGATCCTACCTTCTGGTTGTTTCTACCTTTAAGTCGTGGAACCTTCTTTTGGCTCTGTATAAGATTGGGAATATTTTCCGAGGCAGTATCATACATTGATATGAATAGAAACTGAAGTGTTTATGAACTTATGCAGAGGTAATACTTGTGTCCCATAAGAATCACATTTAATAACAAAACAAGACTTTTCCAGACAGATGACAGCCAAATGTTCTTCTCCGGAGAAGCATATGGGGCTAATAGTGCCAATAAA